TCCGTTAGGGCGCGGCCTGGGTGGGCGGGCGCCGGGCTGAGGCCTGGCCTCCGGGCGTCGCCGCCTGTGGCATCAGTGACATTAATAAGCCACCAAGTCGTGCTGAGGGAAGGAGCCGCGGCGGCCACGGGGGCGGGTGTGTCTGTGTGGGGGGTGTTTCCCAGGGTTACCGTGACCGGAGTCTCCAAAGTCTCTTTTCTGTGGGTATGAAGACGTTCTGGCCTATTCCCCTTTTCCTTTCTTTTTTTTTTTTTTTTTCCATTTCAAACATGTTTCAATCCCCAAACAGCATGAAGTCATGTAAACTTAAGGCAGCTTGAAAATATAAATCCTACCAACATCCGCTCGCACTTGTGATTGCGTCAAAACAATTCCTTTACCACCGGTTGCAGGACTGGGCATCCTGAAAATGTGGGAAGAAAACCAGATAAACTGCTTGTTTTTCATATGTGCTTGTAATTAAAAGGTGCTATCGCAGTACACCGTGCTCTCTTAACTTTTTTAAAATGTCAATCTCCACATTTATTCAGTCTTGAAATGTACGCTTGGATCTGTTTTTTTAGTTATTTCCAAGCAAATAATTTCTTCAAATTACCCTCAGTAATCAGTCAGCAAGTTAAAACTGGGCATTTTTACTTTAAGTCAGACCTAACCAAGTCAGAAATGCGCTTCTTCCCCATAAACCTTGTTTCTGTTACCCCGGTGCTGTTACGGGCAGTCTTCAAATGCTGCTGAATAAGGGAAAAGATAAAATTCCTTACGATTCAGCTAAAATTTGTGCTGACCTTCAGTGTGTCATTTCTCCAATATTACTGTCTTGCACCTTGCATATTCCTACATCTGCTGCAGATGCAAGTGCTCTTACAGGGCAAGACGGCAAGAGTCTTGAAGCTCTGAGCAAGTAAACTGTGTGGGGAAACAAGGCTTTATACATTCCTGTGACTAGGCAAAATTGTATTAAAAATTCTCTCCATTAATTTCACCTCATGACAAAAATACAGAAAATACATACAAGGGCCTCCAAACTTCAGCTCAACTATCCAAGTCAGAAAAGGATAGCAATGCGAAAATCATAAGAATAGCTGCATGGGATGAGACCAAAGGTTCATCTATTCCGGTATTCTATTTCCAACAGCAGCAAAAAGCAGTTATCTAGAGAAGAGAATGAAAGTAGGACAAGCATATAATACTTCGGGGTACTTCTGTAGTCTTAAAGCCATTTGCAGCTTAGGACTTTTTGAGCCATTTGTGGTTTCTATATTCTATATTAAATATTCCTCAAAGGATTTCTAGTCCAAGAGTTAGTCCAGACCCTGCTCAAACCTGTCCACAGCAACCTACAGCAAAGATGCTTCATATTGCCTGAACAACCACTTCTTTTTATTTGTTTTGAGCCTCTTCCATTTGATACAGGTTCTTTCCATTTGTTTCGATTGCAAGAAACAGTGATTGCTCTCTAAATCTATGTCTATGCCTCTGATGATTTTGGAGACCTCGTATCGCCATTCAGACATATTTTTTCCAGGATGAAAAGTCCTGTCTTACATAGATGTTCATTTGATTTTTCCCTCTGACGTTTCGGTTATCTTTGTTGCCCTTCTATTAATTTTTTCAGTTCTGTGGTATACTTTTAGAGATGGATGGAATCAGAACCACACAGTTTTAATGATGATGACTAATTATGGAATTATGTAGTGGTATGATGGGTTTTTCTGCTTTATGCTCTTTCTTCCTGCTAATTATTAACTTTCACTTTGCTTTTTGAAATGGTACAGTGCGTTGAGTTGATGCTTCTATGGTGTTGTCTGCGGTGGGAAGAAGATCTTGTTCCTGAGTGGCAACAATCAGTTCAGAATCAATCTGTCTATGTGCAAAGTCAGGACTCTTTCTTTCTACGTATGTGCATCACGTGCACTGATTTTCGGCGGCCATTTTATTGATGTGACGTTCAGTCTCAGAAGATCTTTCTGACCTAATGTGTAACACCTTCCCACATCCTCATTATTGTGAATACGTTTTTTAGCAAACTATCTCATCTCATCGCTCCCTGCCCTTTCCAGGTTGTTTGTGAATATACTGAACAAAAAAGATCCCAATATCATTTACTACAGAATTCCACTTCCCTTCACACTTATCCTCTGTTTCCTATACTTTCACCAATTATTCTTCCATGCAAAGATCTTCTTTCTCACCTCTCTTATGTTGCAGTTGCAGTCCAAGTATAATAAATTTTGCAAAGGCAAAAAGCCCTGAATCTGCCCAACTGGACAATCATTTCAGCACAGATCAGAGTCCAAAAATTTCCTACCTGCTGGTATTGTCAGCTCCAGTCTCTAAAAAGTTGAATTTCTCAGAGAAATTAGGAATGCAAAAACATAATATTTTTAAAATGAGATGGCAGATACCAGCAAGGTATCAGATCCTGGCAAATCAGTTCATAGGACCTTCAATTCATCTAAGTCTTTCACTTCATAAAAGAGTTTTTTGATGCCTCATTCCATCCAACCGATCTTGGGTTTGCTAGGTTGGGAAGTTTTTCATAATGAAAGATCAGTAAATAATTTACTTAAAGTAAATAACAAGTCATTGAAATTATATACCAGGGTGCCAAGTATATCTGTATTTTGCATCGTGTTGTTCTTGGTGGCTATGAAACTTGACCCTTTATGTTATTACTCTGTTTTGATAGCTCTTTCAGACATATTAGATTAAATATATGAGGGAGGATACTATTTGTATTTTACACAACACACGTTGCAAAAATTAATGTGTAAACAGATCTATTTATATAGCTACTAGGAGTTAGTAACAGAACAAAGACTTCAACAATTTTCTATCCTCACTATGTGAGTAACTGTGTTTTGAGTTAGTCTGAAAATAAGTGTTGTTATGGAGCTTTTCAGAAATACCGTGATTCAAAACTGAGAGTCACTGAAACGTTTTATTTGACCCTAAGATGTCTTTCTTTTGCTTTCCAAGCCTTTTAACAAGACCCAAGTCTTATTTTTAAAGCCTTTAGGGAGCTGTAGTATGGAAAGACATGTGGGATTATTTGAGATTTTAGTATCAAATCCTTTTTTCTTTCATGCTTTTTTCAAGTCCTTCTTGTTGAAATGTTGCACGTATCATAAATTTCTGAAATACTCATTGGTATGTTCATTAGGGGCAGATCTCTGACTTCAGAAGTGGAAGATTTAAGTGCTGCAACAGAAAATTTTTCTCTCCTTAGAAAGAGAAATTAATCTGAATGCAGTATAATATCTTCAACCTTAAATAGCATTTCATTATACACAAAATACCTCCTGGCTTCTGAAGTAAACAAAGAGGGAGGTTGAACTGAGAATATAAAATTGAGGGAAGAAAAGAGATAAAACACTCCTCCCAACTTGCATATCTAACCAGAAAAATTAAGTGGTTTATTCAAAAAATGTCAAAACAATTTTTGACATTTAGTTGGTCTGGATTTTTTTTTTTAAAGCTAATGGCCAAATTGGTCCAAAAATTACCAATAACTGGAGAATGATAACTATTCACTGGATATGTAGCCCAGATATGCTGTTTATTCAACAGCTATGCCTTCACGTTCTTTTTCTCTTACACCAATTACAATAAATAAAAAAAATAAGGTTGGCTTAAGTTTGAACGACATATTTTTTTCGCCATTCACTAGTCTGTTCATTTCTTTTACAGCTTGCAGGGCCGTGACTGTGACTCAGAATAGTACCGAACAAGTAACAGGAATCGTCTTGACAATAGGATAATAAATATCCTGCTAGACTACAGTAGGATAAATAAGGCATTATTTTAGCAATTTGAACGATGGAGGACAAGGGAAAGCTGATTAAGAGGTCTTAGGAAGAAAAGCCAACAACACACACCAGAATAGCTGCTATTAATAAGAGGGGTAGTGGCTTGGGAAAGGGCTAGAAAAAAGAAAAATGAGCTACTTCAGGGAGAGTAAGAGCAAATGAAGCCAAAGTTGCTAGCCAAAAGCCATAAAAGAAAAAGGAGCAGAGAAGAATAGAGGAGCTTCCAGTCAAAAAGAAGCAAAATAAAATGGCCATCATTGCAGTAGTAATTAATTTTTTTTTGGCTGAAGTGACCTTAGCTTTCCAAGTCTTCAAGTAGTATAGTTAAGACTTTCTGTG